TAGCACTAATTCTTCTTTATCGAAGGAATTCCTAGGTCGGGGGCAGATTGACCTCGCGGTTTTCTGTTTTTCTTTCTCTGTCTCCTTGCTGTCTCTGGAACGCGGCCTCTCCTTCAGCTTTAGCTCCACAGACCCTTCACCTCTCCTAGACACTTCACCTAGTTCAGGATGGATACTCTGTCTCACTCCAAAATATGGAGCAAAAATAAACACCCTCAATCCTGATCTTTCTCCTCACACGTTTATCCACTGGAAAACGTCTGCTCCTCACAAAATAGGCATGAGTACCACAGAATTGTTCATTTTGTATTTAGAGGAGACTCTGGCCATAGCTTTTCCCTTGGTCACTCACAACTATGAAATGGGTGAGGGTGAGAGTGTATCACTCTCACAGAAAGAGAAGAACAGAACAAAGGGAGTAGTTGAAGCCTGAGTTCCTCACAGGAATGGCTTTGAATCTTTGTGTATGTGTGGGAAGAGCTTCCTTGATACCATCTGCTTGAAAAGAAAGAGGAAAAACAAATGAAGAACAGGGAACAGAACAGCTTTTTGCCCTTGTACTCTCAAGGTTTAGTAAAATGGAGGAATCAGCAACTGTACAGGACTGTAAGAAGGAAACAAACAGATGATCTGGTAGTCCACCATTTATTTGCTCTGTAATTATTTTATGAAAAAATAACAGCAGCCCACCTAGCCATTAGGAGGTTGGTTTTGGTGTCTGGAAGAGAATTAGTCCCAATGGGATGGTGAAGCCTAGTTTAACACAGCCGTGTAATGAGACATCCCAGTATGAGAAACTGGCACAAGCTGGCAGGGTATCTTCATTTCTGTTTGAAATTGTTGAACTTAACAGTTTTTATCTGCTAATGTGCAGAAAGCCATAGTTTACATTCCTTCCTGATCTGAGAAGTACATTTGTGATTGTTCCTTTCCACGTGCAGTGCCTGTGCAGAAAGAGCACTCCACCTGCTAGAAAATTCAAAACATGTAGTTCTATACAAGTCTCTGAATTAAAATGTGTCAGGGAGAGAGACCAGGGTTAAGAAATGATGCTTTACTTTCTCCAGAACATAATTATAGGGAAGCAGTTCAGAACATTCAGATTAGGTTATCAAGCAGCCTAATTTAAACACGGTCCCGTCCTCAGACAATAAATAATGTACACGTGGTGGGCATGAGTCATCACTCTTGCAACAGTGTCTGGAGCTCCCTACTTTGCATGATTTATGCATTAAAATGTAAATGAAAAATCTTTTTTTTCTTATAATGTGAATTCATGCGAGAGGTCATTTCTAGACATCACTGAGATTAGCTTAGAACTTCTCTGAGGTCACAACCACCTGTTGGGCTCTGGGGGTGTGATGCAAAAGGAAGGAGGGGGAGAAAGGGAGGCTTTAGCCATCTTCTGAGGGCTGAGCCCTCAAATCAGTGTCTATGCCCCTCTTCTCCTCTCGGAGCTGCCTTAGCCTTTGTCTTGGAGCCGCGGGGCCGCTGTTGCAGCAGCGAGGGGCCGCGGGGTGCGCAGGTGAGCTCGGGAGTCGCTCTGAGGAGCAGGGAGGGCTCGCACGGCGCTGCCTCTCCGCGCGTCCGCTGGCGTCACGCAGTATAAAAGCCAGATTTCCAGTGCTCTAAGGATGTGCACTTTCTGCAGCGTCCAAACTCCGGCTGCACCGCCAACCCCTGCCTAGACCGGGCTGGTTTAGTCTCTAGTGAGATGTGGGACAAACTCAAGGGCCGTTCCCAGGCGGAGACCGGGGTTCTCCCGGCGCTCCCTCCGTCCCTCCCGCCGGCAGCACCGCCTTCCCGGGCCGGGCAGGGCTCTCCCGTAAGGAATTTTCCTAAGGAACCCCGCAGCAGGTGCGCGTTCGGCCGCAGCTCCCTCGGCAAGCTCCGCTGGAGGCACCGGAGGACGCGGCGCCCGCGCTCTGATCCCTCCGATTAAACCGTGCCTGGAGGGGATTGCTTCTTAACAGGCTGCCGGATGGACTCTCGCAGAGTAATTTAAAATCACCGAATCGCTATTTATTAATATAATGCTCTTAAAACTGAACGTACACTTAATCCCCGGTGCCCTCGTAACGACTGGGAGGGGAGGGCGGCGTACGGGAAAGGGAATAAGAAGAAGAGGGGAGCGGGCCCTGGTCTGAGCCGGGCAGGGACCAGCGGCCGGCTGGGAGCCCTGGGGAAGCCGCCGCACTGTCGCCTCCGGGCCCAGCCGCCCGCTCGCTGGTGACAGAGCCCAGTCTGCCCGGGGCAGGCCGATCCTTGTGCACCGCAGAGCGGCACCGCACGGCTCCGCTCCGGCCGCACCCGCCCTGCTAGCGCCCCCTCCCTCATCCACCCTCGCCCCAGCTCAGCAGGGAGGGCGGCGGCACCGCAGAGGCGCCCCGGCAGTGCCGGCAGGGCCCGGGCGGCGCATCCCGTCCCTCCCCGGGGAGCCCCGCAGGAGGAGCAGGGCAGGGCAGGGGGAGCGCCCCGCGCCCCCGCCAGGTTCCACCTCCATCGGCGATGCTGCCAGCGCCGCGTCCGCCCCCATGCCGGGAGGGTACCGCCGGGCTTTGCTGAGGTGAGTGGTCACCTCCGGGCAGCTCTGCCTGCCTCCGAGCCGGGGGACAGGGCTCCGCGCTGCGATGTCCCCGCCCGCGGCGAGCAGCCCGCTCCGTGCAGGACAGGAGCGCCGGGGGCTGGGGAAGTTTCCCTGCGGGACAGCGGAGCCAACGCGGCGAGAGGCGGAGCAGCCGCCCCGGAGCTCCAGCTGCGGCAGGGGACGCGTGTGGGAGCGGGGAGGCACCTGGAGAGCCGCCCCAGGTGGAGTGAGACCAGCTGGTTCGAGCGGGGGTGGGGGGAGGAAGAGAGAAGGTGGAGAAGCGGGCGGGGACAGGAGGGGATGGGGGAGCCGGGGAAGGAGGTGGCAGCAGCTTCTGTGCATCGGTGCCTCGTCCCCCCGCTCGCCGGCTGAAGCACCGTGCTCTGCTCCCCGAGGTCGGAGGTGCCGGCGCTGCCGTCCCCGGCCACACGCCGGAGCCGCGCTCTCCTTTGTGGATTCGCCGTGCAACTATCGGGAAAAGTGGCTGTGCGCGGGCAGCGACTTAGCGCAAGGTGAGGGCTGGCGTGTCTGTGTGTCTGTCTGTGCAGGGCCGGGCGGGGGGCGGTCGCGGGCTGCGCTGCTCCGTGCGCTGCCGGAGGTGGGCGAGCACCGTGCCCGGCTGCAGGAGCGGGGCAGAGCGCCCGGCTCGGCTCGGCCCGGCCCGGCCCGCGTTGTGCCGTCGCTCCCCCGCGCAGCGCGGTGGCAGCAGCGCTCGGGAAACTTTGTGCGGTCCCCTTTGTGCGCGGGGAGCCGCGGCGTGTGCGCGCTGCGCGGCTGCTCGCCCCGAGCCAGCGGCCGCCTGCGTGTGTGGCTGCGCTCGGCGTCAATATTTATTTACAGGGCTCGGGTATTAATCACTCATGCCGTGGAAACCTCAATAGCGGCGACTTGTTTCCATGACAACGGGACCCCTCGGAGCTTTCGGGGTTATCTATTTGCCCGATTTTCTCTCTTTTCTTTTTCGTACTAGTACCGTGTTTTGTCACCGGGGGCAGAAACAAGCAAATAAACCCTGAGTGATCCTGTGGCCCCTCTTTGCTTTTTCTCCAACGCTCCACGATTTCCACACACTTAATTAACGATACACGGATGTGATTGAGCAAGTGTGAGAGTTATACAGGGTTTCTTAGTATTTGTTCTGCTGCGTTACCTTGTTCAGCTGTAAAGCTCAAACTGAGCCGTGGTCTGACTTGTCTCATGTTCAAAGTACTCCTGAGACATATTAGTGCTAAAAACTGTTGCTGTTACTTATCTTTCTGCTTGTGCGTCATTTGGCAGAACAGAACCCTTTGAGGAGCTTCATGTTGCAGTCTCTGCTACAGCTGAGTTGGGAATCAGTGGTGACTTCTTCTGTAACTTTGTCATCGTGCTGTGGTGTGACCTTGACAGGTCTCTTTAACTTCTTCCTACCCCACTCTGCTCAGCAAAAGGAAATGTCGTTCACTTGCGCTTCTGCTCCGAGCTAATCAAGTAAAGCACTTTATCTAAGATGGAGTAGTGTTAAAACTGAGTATAGGAGTGTATTGTCTTCAGTTACAAGGAGTGAACATATGTTATATGTTCTTTTTCCTTAATGGTAGAGGCAAAAATCCTCCTTTTTAACTCTAGTCTTTATTTAACATATCACAGTCCCCCTGCTCTTCAAAAGATGTGAACTGTTACCATCCAGCTGAAAACAGTGGTTCTAATGCCATGTTTTAAAATGCTTTCCTGGGTTAACATCTTCAGAATCAGGTAAAAAGGGTCTTTAGCATTTTGAAATTTGTAGGAATATCCACTGTTACAAAGAGTGTACCTCCAGTGAGAAGATGCAGGAGTAAGGAAAGAAAATGCTGTGAAACTGAATGACAGTCTTAATCACTTGCCTTAGCATTGCAACCTGAGAAGGGACTTAAAATTTTTTTAGAGAGAATGAGCAAACACACACTTTTAACTTAACTATATGCTAGGTTAAACATCTGAAACTCTCCTGCAAATTTTCATAGTTTTGCAAGAGACAGTTTAATATAGTGTTATGTTGAGAAGCATTGGTAGTGTGTAAGGAATATTTTAGAATACTCAGTTCTGAAATACTGCCCGAGAGACATTCAGTTGTGACTGTTTCAGATTACAGGAGTAGGAAGTTATAATAGTAGGGGAACTTCTGTATGAAGCATGCATTCTTTCTCCTGTCTAGAAACACTCCTTCTCAGTGAATAAACTGTTATAAAATAACTGTCTCTATCATGTTGTGATAAAGAGTCTATCCTTAGCTCAATCCAGCAAAGTGCTAAAACATCTGCCTCATTCCAAATGCATTAGAGTAGGCAAACCACTTCTTGAAAAAAGTTTCAAACTTTTTCTGAACTACCCTAAAGGTATTTTTACTGAAATACCCCTTGGCTTTTGTATTCTGTTTTTTAGCAACTCAGTAGTGAGATACCTCTCTGAAAATATTTCTTATGAGTGGAGGGCCATCACCAGCCCCTAGTTACCAGTATAGTAACTTAATGACAATCTCATGAATAGAAAGAAAGAACAAAAATCTTAGTTGTCATTTTGTCTCCTTTGGATGTCATTGATTTAAATTTCCATGCTGAATAATTACATTTTTACTACTTAGTGCTGCACAGTCAATACAAGTAGAGGGAAAGTGATTTAGGTTTTACTGTGTGTTTTACATCTCTGAAGCTCAGCCTTTTGATTATTGGTAGTAGTAAGAGCAACAGATATTCCAGTTCATTTTTCAGACTCTAAGTGCCAGGAGGAGAGAGAAAAAAAAAATCTTAATTTTAGTTTTTAAGACTGATAACAGGCAGCAAGAAAGATAATTTGTAACAAGCCCTTATTACTTTTATAGATATTTTCAAAACAATAATCACTTAAGGTTGTGAGAAGGCATCTGAGTATGTAAAGCTGTCACTGATAAAGGGGTTTTGTTTCAGGGAGTGAAAAGTAAATAGATATGAAGGCTAAGTCTATAAATATGGATAATGATATTGGTTTGAATTGTGTTTTACTCAACATTATATCAAAGCAACTTGGATATAATGTACACTGTTTTTTTATAAACAAAAATGCTTCTTATGGTGTTCATATTCAAGATACTGCAAATTGCTCAACCAGCCTATTGTTCAAACTCTGCTGTCATGTGGAAATAGACTTAATATTCTTTGTTTCTGTGGTGTTGGAAGTCCCACACCTGGGATGAGTAAGCGCTGTACTGTTATTTAGAGGAGGCAGTTGAGCTCCTTTCTTGGTAACTGATCTACTCTGGCCAAGTCACTTTACCCCTCTATTATAACTTTTCCCTACCCCATTAATCATCATCATTCAGGGCTGCTTATTTGGACTGTAGAGTTGTGCCATGTGCATATATTGTGCCCAGAGAGATCTCTGGGGAAGCAGCAAAATGTTAGTGCAGCGCAATAACTAATGGTAGTCAACATTTTTCCTGTCTCAGGCCTTGGTCACTGGCATCTGCACACCAGTGAGATCAGTCTGAAGATGTTGTGAGGAATTACTTCCAGTGCTGGTTCCTTAACATTCATTTTGCTGAATATATTTGAAGAAAACAGATTTCAGAGAAAAAGTTCACAGATCTGTACTCCAAAGACCTGACAACAAATCACTGCTTTTCCTGTTTGCTGTCAGGTTGGATGTGCTGGTTTTCTGGATGGAAAAATAACGCCATTATGAATTTAAAACAGGCATATTGGCAGCAAGGGGCTTGTGAAGGGCAGAAACCAGCACTAAATATCCAAAGTGAATTTTTTTTTTTGTGTATATGTGTTTGGTTTTTGGTTTTTTTCTGCTTTTAGGAGAGGATTGGGCAGGTGAGTTTCTAGGTATACTTTTTGAGCTTATAAAATGCACAACCTCATTTGACAGGAACAAGTAATGGTGTTAGGAAGGTATGAGAAATGTTTCTGTAATTCCAGTTAGGAGCTCAGATGTATTCTTTGTACACTTCTGTAAAGTGTTTATACTTCAAATGGTGGTGTACTTGATTTAGCTATAGGGTTTTTAGTTTGGTCTTCATTCCAAAATCACCCTAGTAATCAATACTTCAGCTAAACTAGTCTTTTAAATTGAGGCAGGACTGTTGAGTATGAAAGGTTTGCCAATGAAAACCTGACTTTTAAAGTGATATCTCTTATATATGGTAGACTAAATTCTGCTTTTCATCAGAATTTAATGGCCAAACTTAAGATAAAACAAAGACTGTATTTTTACATACCAGTGGTAATGTAAAACTCTCCTGTTTCTGTCATTTTATTCTTTTAAAAAATGAACCTTTTTAAATGTGAAGATGTAAAAAAGCTCCTTTCCGGCCTTTCGCTTACTCACCATATTTTTAATGAACCATATATAATATATTCAAAATTACTTAGGCTTTTAAGGCCCAAGTTTGAAACAACCCAAATAAATCTGTGTTTTAAAAAACGCATTCTAGAGGGATGCCTCTCCCCCGTCTCTGAGATGCCTGATTATTCACATGCTCAAACTCCCAAGTCATTTTGGAAGTTTTGGACCTTGGTGTATTTTCTGCTTGAAAATAGAGATTTCACCTCCAATTACGTCGAAATTCAAGTCTCTCCCATACCTGTATTGCTCAGTGATGGGTTCAGCAGCACCTCAGCCATGAGATGCTGCTGCTGCTCTGCCTTTTCAGCTGCCAGGACGAGCTGGCAGGGGGAAGGAGCCAGGGACTGAAATTCGGATTTTCCCTGGGAATAAGGCAGGGAGAGCCCTCCTGTCGGCATGTGCTGCAGCCCTCCTGCTTCTCCTGTGGGAGTCCCTTGATTTGTAGGCTGACCTTTCCACACCAGTGAAGCTTAGCAGGCCCTCCCAATTTTCTCACTTTATGCCAAGATGTCTGATGTTGCAGACAGGGAGTCTGTTCCTGCTCTATTTGGAGGCAAGGGCAGAATTCTCACAGATTTCCATAGGAACAAGATGTATTCCTAAACATACTTCAGTAGCTAGAGAGAAACTTC